TTCCAACGTCAAGCCAGCTCATAGCACGAGGATCACTTCAGCGAGTCTCCACCAACACCAGCTCCAACAGCCCACTTCTTCACCCAAGACCTTTCTCAACTTCACCCCCACGTCCCGGATTTGGTCGTCATCAGTTACCGCCATCTTCAACACCGAGCAACAACACCAACCAGCCCCAACCATCACCATCTCTCGACAACGCAGCGTCATCATCAATTCCCAAGCTTCTAGTCTCACGATCCCCACCACGAGCATCTTCACAACCAACTATGCCGACGAACGTTTCAGCTTCACCGCCACGAGCCACCACTCCTATTCCTCAAGTCAACACCGATCATCGAGAGAGTTCCAAGCCGGGAGAAGATCATGCAGCCGTGCCGCCGTCGCAGCCGATGTCGAAGCCGTTGTCTCAGCCGCAAATGACAGTGTCAATGCATCCAAACACTGTGAGACCGAACCCTACCACTGATGTGTCTCAGCCAAGTGAGGAGTTGGGTAAAGGTAAACGAGTCCGCAAGGTGAAAAAGCCCTTCACATTCATGGTTGACATGTCATCAAGGTGCACATGTGAGGAGAGCGAGAATTGCATTCACAAGAAGGTAGAGGCAATATGCATGGCAGCATCACACCTTCCACGAGAGCCCTTGAGTCGTCGTGAGGCAATGGCAAGTCCTGAGAGAGAGCATTGGTTGAAAGCCGAGGAAGAAGAGATTGAGAGTCTCATGAAGCGAGGTACATGGCGTCTTGTTGAGCCACCTCCAGGGAAGAAGGTAATTGGTGTCAAATGGGTGTACAAGATCAAGGTAAACGGTGATGGTAGCCTTGATGGGAGTCCTCCTCGCCATAGCCGCATACCTTGGTCTTCATATCCACCAAATGGATGTCAAGAACGCGTTTCTCTATGGTGTCTTGGAAGAAGAGGTATACATGGCACAACCCGAAGGTTATGATGATGGTACGGGTCGAGTTTGTCGCTTGGTAAAGTCCCTTTATGGTCTCAAACAGTCCCCACGGGTATGGTATCATGCTCTTGAGAAGGTACTCTTCAAGCACGGTTTCACAAGGTCCATGAGAGACAACGCTTTGTACTTCATGCACACGAGTGAGGGGGAGTACATTTGGCTCTTGGTATATGTCGATGACCTCCTCCTAGTCTCAGGTTCCCTTGATCTCCTCAACAAGGTGAAAGGTATCCTCATGAGTGCATTCACGATGACCGATCTTGGTGAGCCGAGTCATTACCTTGGTATGAATATTGTGAGAGATCATAAGTCAAGGTCCATCTTCCTATTCCAGCAAAGGTACATCCAAAAGGTTCTTGAGAGGTTTGGTCTTGATGATAGCAAGCCATCACCTACCCCGCTTCCTTCCAACTTTGTCCCTTTGTCTTCACATCAGCCCTATGAGGAGAGAGAGTCAAGCCTTGACATCACGGGTATTGAGGAGTTGTGTCTCGAAGAGAGTGAGCATCATGGTGAGACTTCACCCAAGGTATCCCCACAAGACCTAGCTCTCTACCAAAGTCAGGTTGGGTGTCTCATGTATGCAGCCCTATGCACAAGGCCCGACCTAGCATTCACGGTATCCAAGCTAGCTCAACATATGCGTGCCCCATCACCTATCCATATGCATGCAGCCAAGCGAGCTCTACGGTATCTCAAAGGTACTTCTAATTATGGTCTTCTCTTCCAAGCCAGCCCACATGCAAGCTCCCTCCAAGGCTTTACCGATGCAGATTGGGCGGGAGAATTGAGCACACGCAAGTCCACCGGCGGCTACATCTTCCTCATGTGCGGTGCCGCTGTTTCTTGGCAATCACGCAAGCAAAGTTGTGTGGCGCTTTCTACAACCGAAGCTGAGTACATGGCAATGACCGAAGGAGCAAGGGAGGCAATCTGGTTACGTGGACTCTTGGAGGACTTGAGGCAGCCGCAAACTCAACCGACTCCGCTCTACGTGGACAACACTTCAGCCATTGCTCTTTCCAAGAACCCGGTTCATCATGGGCGCACAAAACACATCGAGGTGCAGTACCATTTCATCCGTGAGCAACTAGAGAAAGGAGTTCTCGCCATCAACTTTTGCCGTTCATTCGATAAAGCAGCCGATTTCATGACCAAGGTTCTTCCATATGATGCTTTCAACATGTGCAAGGCAAGAGCAGGTCTCATGACACTTCATGAAGCAGTGCAGCAGTTTGAGGAGAATGAGGAGTATGAGGAGAAGCAGCATGGGCTGCACAAAGTGCATGCTAAGGAGATGTGAGAGGAGCATAACCATGGGTGTATGTGTGCTTCGGGTCTGGTGCGAGGGGGAGTGTTGGAGAATCGAGATTCTGCCGCCCCAGCCCTTTGCACACAAGGAGCAGCAAGGGGGGAATGTCGGCGATGGATTGAAGGCTTCGCGAAATATCGGAAAGTTTCCCAACCAATCAGATTTCAGCCGAAGACTCGATACAGTTCAGAGCTGCCTCCAAACCGAAGTGTTGGGAGTTTCTACAGGTTTCTACACATCAGAATCAGCTATAACAGAAAAATCCAGAGATTTCTTATTCATGCACCTCATGTGGCTCTCAAGTCACTCAAGGTTCATGGAAGCTGGATTGTGACCAAGTTCCCAAGGAAGTTGCCTTGTCTAGCAACCTAGTTTGAGCTACCTAACTGCCTTGTTTGTGATGTTTAAGAAGGTGTGCTTTAGTGGGCTTGTACAACCTTGATCATAGTGAAGTTTTACCTCATCCAGTCAGTCCAGCAGCCCTGCTAAGACTTTCCAGCCAAGTTTCCAACCTTTCCAGCAGTCACAGCTACTCTGTTTTACAAGTAAATGTACCTTGGTTTTTGTGTCTACTTACTTGTATCTACAAACTAGCAGAACCTGTAAGGAGATAGTACAAGGACCAAATAATTCTGCGACTCATGAAGGCCACCATTATTCACTTTCCCCTGGTGAGCCTATACCGTACAATTTTTTGACACAACATACAAAGTGCAAAACAAAAACAAAAACAAAAACAAGGCCACATACGTATCAAAAGAGCATGACATCCCAAAAAAATTGGCCGCAAAAAGATGCCGCAAGGTCACCTTTGGGATACCTACCAGTGGGTAACCCAAAGGATTGAGTATACGTTTCCTCCGGGTCACCTCAAAGTTCGTTGTGACCTCAAGGTTACCCAGAGAGGTGACCTACAGGTAACCTACAGAAAACCGTCATGTCACCGCGATGATTCCGCTCCCACGTTGCTGGAGCCAATCAAACGCCACCGTCAATCGCGCCGCGAACAATAATTCAAATACTACACTCCTGCTGTACACTCAATTTAATTAGTTTACCGGTTACTAGGCAAAATAATTTTTAATCAATCGTGTTTCTCTTTTACGGTAATAACAAATGGACAGGACAACACAAGGTGACTTAGCATTGCATATAAAAAAAGCATTGCAGTACATGGATTGAAACAACACATGTCATACACGACACGCCTAAACAGTGTGCTAAAACGACGGGTAAAGTAAAACCAGAAAAGGTCAATGAGCACCAAATGGCAGCAAATCAACAGAAGTTTCCTGCTTCTCAAACCAGTTAACTTAATTTCCTGCCACATTAGAGCAGTGAAAACAACAAGCAGAGAAATGTTAGCAACGAGGAAATGGAATGAGGGGAAAATAACGTTTTACGCCAGCGTCTAGTAAACAGAACTTACCAGAAAGAAGAGTCTTTGCATGTAGGAGGCTTGATTTCGCCTGCACAAGCACATCGCTAGGAACTGGAAACAATAGAAAACGACATTCCACGCCAGCAAAGTTTACTACAGAGAGTATACTTACCAGAAAGTGACTTGGCAGGTAAGAATCTTGGTTACGCTTCACCTGCAACAGCACTGCGCTAAGGCAACCATCGCACAGAATGGCAGAGCTAAACGGGTGGTTGACAAATACAACATTGGCGCTGGGAAAAAACGCCATGAAACATAACGGCGATGACAAACAGGTGACTCACTGGCGACTTGCTTACCTCGTATGCATAATCTATATCTCCAACATGAGCGCCGGCACGATGGTAGGTGCTGCCAGCAAAGAAACACACAAGCTCGAGGAAACAGTTAAAAACTGACGATAGAATAACTACTAGTCATTCACGCCTCCAATCGCCAGGTTTAAGACGTTGCTTAATCAGAAATGGAATGACGAGATACTAAGCTATTTATCGGTCACCCTATTTCCCCAGAAATGTCTAGGAAACTGAAGTAGCGGAAAATGCGGACATGGCGGCGAGTTAAGAGAAGTGGTCACTCGACACATTGACCACACTGAAGAATGAGGGAAGTGGGTTAGATGAGGCTGTGAAATACCTCCGAGTGAACCGAATGGCTGAAGTGACTTGCACAACTTTGATTGGTGCACGAAATCCTGGCTGCCACCTAGCGAAACCCATCATGTAAAATTCGATATGGTGAGCTGCGTTTGCACGCTTGGAGATGGTAAATCTACTGTGCTGCTGTAAAAGCATGTACAAAACTGGTTCGGGGTCAGCCTCGGATGCTGAAACCAATTGACCAGCCTCGTTCCGAGGCAGACGGGGTTTCCTCGGGGTGTCCTCAAACTTTTGCTTCATCCTGATTCGTCAGTTTCTGATTTCCGAAACTGGGCGAGTTTGTAATACATTTCGCGGATGTCGTTGTTCCCCTCATGTTTCCTTTTGGGGTCTTCAGGGGAACTATGAGGTAACCTCGCATATGATGCCCCAAGGTAACCCTCAATTTCGAACCAATTTGGGCGTTCGAATTTTTGGGATGGAAAGGGGAAACTCCCTCCTAGTACAGGATGACGCTCTTGCTCTTCCAATAGTGGTCCATCCATCCTTAGGAGCCGAGGATATATTTTTGGACATCAAGTTGGACGCCCTTATATGTCGTCCGCTTATCTGTCCTCGTTGCATCGTTCACGATTGAACTGCCGCAGCTTTGTCCCACCACCGCCACCACCGCTGCCAGCAACAGCTCAGTCGAATTTGAAGCACGTGCTGGAAGTGCATATCCCCTGGCAACTCGCACCGCAGGCGCCGCAGTGTTCGTAGTTGGTGCGAAGATCCACGCAGGTGCCACCGCAGCAATCCAGCGGGACTTCGCAGAAGTTGCCACACGCCCCACAGTTGTTGACGTCGGCCATTAGGTCCACGCACCGGCTGGTGAGGGGAAGCGATGCAAGGAGAATTGGATGTGAAACACTGCAGATTTTGCGTCATCTTCCGTTTAGTCCACAGGCTGGGGGGGGGGGGGGGGGGGGGGGGGGGGGGGCTGGTTGCAAGGAGAAGGGTGAAAATGCAGCCTTTTCAGTAAATTTTGCCTGACACGCCGACACTGGGGCTGGTGAGGGAAGAAAGTGGGTGCAAGGAAAATGGAAATGTGAGTCGCATCTTTGGGAACAAGCTATTCTTGGGAGGCAGTAGCGCGCGGCTCCTCAGTTTTTGCTGTCACTGACAACAGGCATTGTCTGGTCCACGAACAGTCTGGTGGGGGGATAGAGTGATGGGCACATGTGCAGTCAGAAGCGGGTAATGACCCGCACTGCGTCAACTGTAATAGTTTCGAAGCTTGTGTGAATGTGCGTGTGGGCGTGAGGTACTCACGAGCGGCAGGCGGTTTGGTTCTTGGAGCAATTTGGCTTGAACGCCAGCAGGCGACGCAACTTCAAGTTCATTTGCGAGTTACCATAGCCGGCGCCAATTCCCGACGTTCGCATGGCGTTTCGCCGCTGCGGGGAAGGGTTTCGGGAGGACAACCAAGCGAAGAGCTCATCTTTCATGCATGACGTCACGCAGCGCGCTGGGGCGGTACAGATTGCGAAGGGCTTGTAAGCAGTTCGCTGCTACGCTGACGTCACTAGCAAGTTCCGATCCATATGTTTACGTTTGAATGGCAGTTGAGTGCAGGGTCGCAAAGGGAGGACGGGTTCGTCGTCGCCGAGAAAGCGCAAAAGAAAGCGCGAAAGAAAGCGCGAAAGAAGTGCGAAAGAACTCCCAAAAGAAGCGCGAAAGAAAGCGCGAAAGAAATTGCGAAAAAGGTGCGAGAGGAAGTGCGAGAGAAGCTTGAGAGAGGGATCCCGACGACAAAAGCCAGATACAGCGGTATAAGAAAATCCAGAAGTTTTTCTTACTTCGAGCTCTTTCGCGCTGGCTGTCGTGGACGGTATCGCGGCCGCTAGTAACGAGGCGGCGATGCAGAGAAGCAGACTCAGGCGTATCGACCTTGACTCCATCGACACGAAATTCCTACTATCGTCTCTGTAACGCGTCAGCGTCTACTAGAGCTGTAGATGCGTCCGAAGAAGAACCTGGGCTGATCGTCTGTACTTCGTAAATAAGCTTTCCTAGAGGACGGAATAAGCTGCTGTTAGGTCGTGTCCGGGGGGGTGACATGTCAAAGTGGGCAGTGTCAATTTGGCATTTTGACACTCAGCCAACATTGTTGGCAGAGTGTCAAGAAGTTGCAAGTTGTCCAGCCAATACAAATCGTCGGACACTTTTGAATTTGGCACGGTCAAACCTACAAACGAGAGAAGATGGTCGCAGGTGCCTATCTCACGACTAGAAGCTGCCCAATCAGCAGACACCGCCTCCTACTTTCCTTCGCGTGCCTAGGAGACCCACAAATGACAACTTCAAAAACCAATGAAATTACGTCGCTGATGTTCGCACATGCGCTTCGACTTGACACTACAGCTATAGTATATGACACTCCAATTCTAACGCGCTTCGGGTTGACACGCACATTGTTGACATGTCATCCCTACGGACACGAACTTAGAAATGCGAGGAATAAGTAGACTCTGGTTTAGTGCGAAGAGAGCGGTCCCGTGAATTAGCACGCAACACTGGAGGGACATTTCACGCCAACAGAACGAACCTGAAGTCACCTCAGTTGTCACCTCAGTGCATTTGTCACGAGTCGCATGTGAAGTTGGCGGGAGGGGGTTGGGCTGCTTTTGCTGATGAATGACGGGAGTTGCGCAGAGGTTGGCGATGGCGGCGGCAGAGCTCCCAGCCGGATTCCGCTCCTTCTGGCCGCACGAACATCAGGTCGCGGAAGATATGCGAGAATGTGTGGCGGCGGCATATGCGCCGAAAATTTTGAAAATCAACTCCTGCTGATGTTTCCAGAGTCACATGCCATGCCATGGGATTGGGGTCTTTTTTTCCTCCCCGCGAGCAGATGACGGACCGTCGGGAAAAGCAGCCAGATGTACAAACTCATTCTCGTTAGACTGGCATCTGTTATACTGATTGGGACGCTTTGTGTAACCGCAGCGGACCCAAGGTTCTATCATATGCGTTATAGTAACAATTTCACCCAAGGTGTATAGTCAGGGTTATATACGTTCCACTGTTGTTTTCAAAGCGGTTGGGACGGATATTCAGCGTCAACGTTTTTTTTTTTTTTTTTTTTTTTTTTTTTTTTTTTTTGCCCAAGGCCTGTTTCGCCGCCTCGTGCGAAGGTTGAGGGCTCGTCCGTGGTTTTGACATGTCAAAATCGCCAGTGTCAATCTTCCGTTTTGACACTACCAACATTGTTGGCAGAGTGTCAAAATTTCGCAGATTGTTAGCCAGTCGTACATTTTCGCTTCTGACGCAGTCTATACCAGCGAACCAACCATAGTCGTCGCATCAGCAAATCTGATCACCCCTAGTACCCAATAACAACGCACCGACCCCTGACAGCTAGTTGATTCTTTTCGCTACATCGGACGTGGGCGAATCATCTGGGAACACTAGGTGTTCCAACGAATAAGGTTGACAACACTAGGTGTTGCATCTTTGCTGTTCGCACAAGCGCTTCGGGTTGACACTGATTGTACAGTGATTGACACGCAAAATCATGCGCGCGTCGGGTTGACACGCATAAACTTCACATGTCAAAACTACGGACACTACCTGAGAACAATGGTGTACAGCGTAGTGTCTGTTCAACCAGTGAATCTTGCCAAACATGAAGATGCCCGCAGGATGCCGGTACCCAATCGTGGGTCTGGAGAAGTCAAGCTGGGGGATCCGATCTACACCACAAAAACGGCACGAGGCATGGTATAGTGCAAAGGTTAAAGGATATGGGGAAAAATCTTTACCGCGTACACGACCGACTCTTCCTCCGCAGAGTACTTAACATTAAACCATTACCACCTCCCGACCTAACACTCGCCTCGACTACTGTTCCGGCCACAGTTCACATCGCGACCCAACTACAAAGAGTCTGTATACGGCGGGGTATCGAGATAGCTAGGCAAGGTTGGGGTTTGACTATCGAGAAGTTTGGTACAAAAGGTAACCCTAAGGAAATGTACCTCATACTATCTACCCCACTACAGCCTACCAAGAACAATAATAACACACATATATGTTTGACACACCCCCATAGGCAAAGTGGGGAGAGCAAGGGGTCACAAGACCAGTCAAAGCAAAACAAGCTCAGGGTGGATCACAACGTCACCACACACTCTGAGCACAAGCAAACGGACACAAGGCCAGTTCACATGCAGAGATATATATGCAGCAATAACAGTACAGTGATGACTATCTAGCAAGAGCCAGCAAGCAGGTATATATATAGATCACAGTACAAGCAAGGACTACAGCAAGTGTGGAAACGTAGGCACAAGGCCTAACAGGGTACAGAAGCGCTGATGATCACCAGACGGAAGTGCCTTGGTGAATATATCAGCGGTGTTGGCCCGAGTGGCCACGTGACGAAGACGAAGCTGACCTCGCTGCTGCAACTCTCGAGCCAGGAAGTAACGCAGAGCGATGTGCTTCGTTCTGTGCTCCAGTCTGTGCTCCTCACACAAGGCAATGGCTGCCTTGTTGTCAACGTACAGAACTGGAGGAGAACGAGGCCGCTCACCCAAGTCAGTCAGCAGGTAGGTGAGCCAGCGTAGCTCCTGTGCAGCCATGGCGGTGGCGTAGATCTCAGCCTCACAACTGGAGCTGAGAACAGAAGACGAGCGTGTAGACCGCCAAGAAACAGAGCCAGAGCCAAGGCTGAAGGTGTAACCCTGCGACGACCGCTGTGTAGTCTGGTCGTCAACCCAAGACGCGTCTGAGTGCCCAGTGAGGACCACCTCACTCCGTCCTCCAAGCACGAGCCCCATGCCTGATGTACTGCACAGGTAGCGCAACACCCTCTTGGCAGCATCCATGTGCACCTTTCGGTGCCTGCCAGGAGCCACGTAACGAGCCAAAAGGCCAAGAGGGTATGCGAGGTCAGGTCGAGTGCAGGTCATCAGGTACATGAGGCAGCCAACTAGCTCTGGGTAAGGACCACTCGGCTCTACGGACTCGTCCGAAGGTGGAGCTGAGAGCGAGTGACCTGTAGCCAGAGGAGTGGCCTGTGGGGAGGACCAGGAGAAGCCGAAGCGCTGAAGGACCTGCTGCACCATGTGTGACTGAGTCAGGGTGATGGTGCGGCGTGCTCTGTCCCAGGTGATCTGCAAGCCAAGGTAGCTGCGCAACTCACCCAGGTCTGTGCACGTGTGTCTCTTATGCAGCTCCGATTTCACCTGAGCGAGAGCCTCAGTGTCAGCAGTGGCAAAGATCAAGTCGTCGACGTACACGAGGATGTGGAACGGCGGCAGCGAAGTGTCGGTGCGCAGGAACAGCGACGGGTCAGCAGTCGAAGGAGCGAACCCAAGAGCCGCAAGCGTCGTCCTCAGTGTGTCGTGCCACTCACGAGGTGCCTGACGGAGACCGTAGACTGGCCGCCGGAGACTCCACTGGGTACCAGGAGGGAACGACCCAGTGAAGCCAGGTGGGCGGCGTAGCCAGATCTCCTCGTGCAGGCTGCCCTGTAAGAAGGCTGTGCTGAAGTCAAGTGAGTGAAGCTCGTAGTTACGCTGAGCGGCAACGTGGTTATCTTCGGGGTGGGGGAGAAGGTCTGGAAGAAGTCAACTCCCTCTCGCTGACTGAAGCCTCGAGCAACATAACGAGCCTTGAAGACAGGCGGAGATCCCGGCGGCTGCTTCACCCTGAAAATCCACATGCCATCGACGATGTTCGCCCCAGGAGGGGGAACCTTATCGACGTAAGTGCCTGTGGACTTCCAGGATGCCATCTTTGCGTCCATGGCTGTCTGCCACTGAGAGGAATACTCACCCGCGATCGCCTCAGCGTAAGAGCGCGGGGTCGGGATGTCTGGTGCATCCGGGTCTCCCTCAGGGGCAAGCAGCATGGCCACGAGATGAGGCGCAGCGGCTGCAAGACACTCAAAGTCCTCCTGCATGTCCTCAAGGACGTCCGTGCTAAGAGCACACTCACCCCCGACGGACAGAGGACAGACAGACTCAGACTCAGTAACAAGACTAGCGGCGTAGTCTAGACGACAGGCAGCAGTAAAGTCAACAAGCTCAGCGACCAAGGCAGACGCAGCAGTAGACTCAAACGATGGGTCAGTGACAACAGTGGCTAACAGACGCGTGACAGTAGGGTGTGCAGCACGAAAGCGGTCAGACTCAGGGTCCGGAACGTCAGGCAGAGAGGACGCAGGGGGAGACGGTAGAGGAACAGGCTGGGGAGCAGAGGAAGGACGACGGACTACGAGGTGTGCGCTGGGGACAGCCGGCTGACGCGAACGAGGAACACGACGACCGGTACGACCAGGACGAACAGGCGAGACAGGACGCGACGCAGGCTCACGACGCTCAGCAAGACTACCTGTCTGCTCAGTGTAAGGAGAAGGAGCAGGCAGCGGTGAGCCAGGCTGTAACGGAAGACCAGTAGACGACGGGAGAGTAAGAACCTGACGAAGAACAGAGTCAGGCGGCGGCAGAGACGACGGAGACGGCGGAGCGAAGAACAGTCGTGTCGGCGCAGCTGCACCAGCACCGGCAGCTCCAGCAGCTCCAGTACCTCCAGCAGCTCTAGCACCTCCACCAACTCCAGAACCTCCAGCCCCAAAACCGACACCTCCAGCCCAAGCGTCTCCAACCTCGGTGTCTCCAGTAGCAGCACCCCCAGAACCAGCACCTCCAGTCCCAGGGTCTCCAGCCCCAGTGTCTCCACCAGTAGTACCCCCAGAACCAGCACCTCGAGTCCCAGGGTCTCGAGCCTCAGTGTCTCCAGCAGCGGCACCCCCAGACGCAGCACCCCCAGCCCCAGCAGCTCTAGTACCTCCAGTACGAGCACCTCCAGGACCAGCGACTCCAGCACCTCCAGTAGACAAAGTACCAGCACCACTCCTAGCTCCAGGGACGTCAGCAGAAGTACCTCCAGC